AAGCACTGTACTACCTACGGCAGGAAAGAAAAGAATCGCTGGGACGAAGGTCGTGTTGGCGGATGGAGGTGATAGTTCCGGTCTCTCGAACACGGATCATTTCGGCGCTGCGGGTACGAGCAAGATCTTGGCGCGGCCGGCCATCATAAGAAGTGGAAGAGGCCACGCCCGAGGAGACTCCGAATGGTTTCGTTCAGATGATCTGAGGGCCGTTGTTGGCGTTGTTGTTGTCTCGGCCGGTCTTTCAGCATGGTCCGCACCGGTTCAGGGCGGCGAACGCTACAGGTATCGTTACTGTGTCACAGTGCGGCCAGAACTGGATCGCTCACATGGAGAGACTCGGGGAACTGCACGGAGAAATATACAAGTGTGGGCCAGCACTTGAGAGACGCAAAGGGTTCGACCGAGAAAGGGCCGTTCCAACCGCACTAGCACAACAGAGCCAGGACAACCTCCCTCATCCTTCCTTATCATACGTCCTTGCTGCCCTGGTTGTTGCCTGATCCCCTAGCCGTCTCGGGGTTTCTTTGTCGCCCCGTGGGACTTGATCCAGGAAACAACCCTTTCCCGCGCAGTGCGCACTGCCTGCCCAGCGACTCTAGTACAATGACTTTGCCATCTTCACAGATTGTAGTTGATTGTGTGCTTATCAACACTCGACAGTCCTGTTGAGAGTGAGGGGATCCGCCCGTGAGAAAGGCTCAGTCAATGAAAATGTCTTGCGCGGCGAGTGCTACTAAGCTGGTCTGCGGGAGGGTCGTCCCCGCGGGCTGAAATGCTGGCACGGGATGGCACAGGCGGACCAATTGCGGTACGGCTAAATCGGAAATGACACCGAAATGGACGGTTCGCGAGAGACTTGACGTAGACGCATGCCAATCGTCAGGACCGCAAACGCCTGCAAGCCCGCAAGAGTTACCGTGACCGTCGATAAGAGCCACCGTTGTTCCAAACGGGCCGAGCTTCCACAACTAGCCACGGACGTCTTGTCGGCGGATTCGGTTCCCAACCCCAGCCGACGGGAGGGAAGAGGAGCAGGGAAGGCGGGCTCGAGAACCGGGGTAGAGGTACCTTGCCTTGTCCGTACGGGCACTGTGTGATTGCTTCCCATCTGGTGGCCATCGTTGTGCACACTGTTCGTAGGCACCAAGAGAAACAACCATGATACAGTTTCCTGTATCCGATTCGCACTCTGGCATCCGCTAAAACGGTGCTTCTTTCGGCCTTCGCTGCTCATGCACCCATCGACAGCTCCCCACTATTGCGCCGCTGAATAGCCCCGTCGCCCGTCGGTGG